AGGGTTGTTGGGGTGTATTGCTCCCATAGGTGTGGAATTCAGTTTGCCATGAGTGAAGGTCGATTTTTTGGCTTCAGAAGGATGTTCAACAAATTTTCTACAAGCTGTGTATTGCCAATAGCCACGGCCCAACTGAATTTAAGCTTGAAGTGCATAATTAACAGTTTAAGATAGAGACCAAACCGACTGAAGTTGCAACTTATCCTGAATTACATCCTTTAGGCCCCCTATATATCGCGCAACTATCTAATTTGTATTCTCATTGAGGTTGTTTCTTACACTCAACAACAACATCAAGTGTACAACTCGAAAATGTCAATCGTATGCGCCGCGACGAAATTAGGAGAAATTTCAAAGTCGTCGAAATTAGACGCAATAAATTTTATAAAATTCTACATGAAATTTCGATCGAAACGGTATAAAGAACGTGTACCTAATTTCGCACGATTTGAAAATTAAAAATCGTATAAATTCTTTTAAGTAAAATTTTAGTCTCTTGCCCAAACTATCACTCATGAGCCTTAAGAAATTTATTAGAGGAAGGGCACATGCGTAATTGACTTTATAATTTTTCCTTAACTCCCCTCATCCGCCTAAGGGCCGATTCATTCAATCCCTTGTTCATTTCTTTCGGCCGAGAGAAGGAGAAGGCGGGCGGAAACGAGAGGGAGGGCGGCGTAGCTCACAAAAGCCGGTTTCCAGCAACTTTCTTGGAGGAAATACAGAGGAAGTCTAAGGGAGAAAGAAGGTAAGCTAAAAGCCTAGAAACATTGTTTCTTTTTCAAGATTTTCATGAATTGAAAATTTTAGGATTTTTGAAATTATTAAAGTTTGTTAAGGAAAAGTGTGTAGGAAGATGAGGGAAGGTTCTTGTGCAAAGAATTTTTTTTATTTCCCTAAATTTCCTTAGGTTTCAAATTTAGGGTTTTGCTTATTTGATGGGGCTTTCATAGGAAAGTGTTAGGGCTTGTATGTGTGCATACTTCCAAGCAAGAAAAATGAATTTTTATGAATAAAAATTTTAATTTTCAATATTAGGGTTTGATGAAAAATTTAATTTGTTTTATGAATGAGGTTAGAAAGAATTTAGAAGCATGATTAGCATGAAATTAAAAATTTTCCCTAAAAATTTTGAAGTTTCCACATTAGGGCTTTTCCAAAATTTCAAATTTTAAGCTTAGAGTTAAGCAATTTTATTCCTAAGAGACTTGTGAAGTCTCTAATGAAGAAAAAATGAGGATTTGTAAAGAATATTTTTTTTCCTAATTTCTTTATAATTTTAATCCAAAAATAATTGATTTAAATTATGAAATGTGTAGGAATGATGAGGAATAAATGATATTGAATGATATGAAAAAGCTTATGTTGTTATGTTGTAACCTCTTTTCCTTAGGTCTTAAAAAGAGGAAATCATAAGGAGATAGTATTGTGAGGCGAGATGACGGTGTCAAGAAGTGACATTTGAGGTAGGAACACTTAACTCTACAATTCATATTCCTTTATGTTAGATTTTGAAATGTCTAACACACTTTTTTTTATTTTAGATGTTCTCTTTATTTGATATAAATGCATGTTAGAAGTTATTTTTCTTTGATAGCTATGCATGTTAGATGTTCTTTGAAATGAAATACAACCCTTCATGTAAATTTGTCTAACAATACAAATAATTGATGCATAAGATTGATATGATATTCCTACACTACAATCCTATGAAAATAATATATGAATGAATGTGCATGTAGAAGGCGGAGTACCAAATATTAGACCTGTCAATTTCGGGTTACGGGTCGGGTTCGGGTCGAACCCGAAACTGACCCGGCACTATTCGGGTTCGGGTCGACCTGACCCGTTTTTGCAAACGGGTCAATTTTCTGGACCCGAACCGACCCGAACCCGACCCGCTTCGGGTTCGGGTCAACCCAAACCCGAAAATTCCGGGTCGGGTTCGGGTCGGGTTTTCGGGTCGGGTCCAATATTGACAGGTCTACCAAATATGGTGCATTAGCACAATACGGCTCTTAGGAGCAATATGACTCTTCGGGGCAAAAGAGTAAAGAAAGATGATATGGCCAAAAATATGTTTGTGATCAGTACATTTCTGGTACTCTTGTACGGTTGTATATGTTAAAGAATAAGAAAGCATATCAGTACATTTATGATATAAAGGACATATGAAATAGTTGAAATGACCTCAAGGATATGCATATGAACTATAGCATGTGACACTTAGGAAAATCATGACATTTCATAATCTTATAGATGGGTTAAATTACATTAAGCATACATGTTGAATTTCATTTATTGGTATAAGAATTTGTTGGAGTTAGTTGTTACCTGCTAAGCTTTGGCTCATTTCCTTGTTTTGGAATATTTTTCAAGAGACCCCGCTGCTAGGAATGGCTAATTGACCTTAGTACACATAGAGTCATAAAGTACTGGATGACAGGTTCCTCTTGTATTTTTCTTTTAGTTGTAGTTAATTTTGGGTGGTTTGGCATGAATGAAAGAAATATTTTAGTCACCTCTGTACATATGCAACTTTATATGAAATGATATGAAATGTTTAGTTTAAATTGGAAGTTGTTTAGAGGCGCTTATATTTTTCTCTTTAAGTGTTTCAGATTCTTCTTCAATTCATGTTTTAAGATAATTTCATTTTTTGTTATATCATTTACGTCTGACATCCGTTCCTACCTCGTCTATACGAGCTCACCGAGCTGGGTCGTGACATCAAGCCTTTGTCCCACTACGTGGGGTTGGCTACATGAATCCTTTTTCGCCATTTTGTTCGGTTAAAAGTCAAATTCTCATTTAAATCTAATAAAGAAATATCATTTCTAATATTTTCTAACTAAGTCTTTTTAGGTCTACATCTACCTTTCTTAACATAATTCAAATCTAATACCTCAACTTTCCTAATCGGGTCATCGAAAGGCCTCCGTTTAATGTCACCAAACCATCTAAGGCGACTCTTTCAAATCTTATCTTCCACTGGAGCTACTCCAACCTTTTCACATATATGCTCATTTATCCTATCTCTAAGGGTCAAGCCACTCATCCACCTAAGCATCCTCATCTCTGCAATACTTAACTTAGTATTATGCTTCTCTTTTAATGGCCAACATTCGGCACCATAAAGCATTGCAGGTCTCACCACCATCTAATAGAATCTTCTCTTAAGTTTGAGGGGGACTTTTCTATCGCACAATAATACTGATGCATTCCTCCACTTTAACCATCCAACTTGAATTCTGCTGATAATATCCCCATCAATTTCACCATCATTCTGAACAATATATACAAGATATCTAAAACAAGTACTCTTATTAATGACTTGATCGTCCAAAGTCACAATCTCATCACTAGGTCTATTGCTACTAAAATTACACTCCATATATTCAGTTTTAGATCTACTCAAGTGAAGGTTGTTTCTTACGCTAAGACAATAAAATTTCTCGGTGTAATTACTCACACTTTTGTTACCCTAAATACAATGCTGATATTTGAGATAGAGCATTTGCTCAAAATCTGTATGCAAGAAATGACCACGAAGGAGTTGTTTCATACTATACCAACTACAAATAGACTCTCGTCCTTCACGGTGTCGTGTCTGTAATACTTACATTCACCAAGTATTAGCACCTCCCTTAAGCATGTAAGCCACATATTTCACTTGTTTGTTATTTCAATTTTTATGTATTCGGAAAACGTCTCAACCACCCTTTCCCAATCCAAATAATCCTCTATATGTAATCGGCCATAAAAAAAAAAGGAATATCAAGTTTTACACTAAATTCACTGTGATTTCGATCATTCCTTTCAATATTTCTCCTACACATATTATTGATGGGTATGTTATCCCCATAGACCCCATCTAAGTCAAAAATAAAACATCAAGACTTATATGACATGCTTCATCCTTTGAACCTGAATGTTCAGGTATAAGTGCATAACAGTTGCACGCCACCAGTCACGAGTTCCACCACAATCTCTTCTAACAACGGGTGTAGTTGCTTGTAATGATAGTCTGATATTCAATTGCCTGTTTTGAGAACTCGAAGTTCTCGACGCACCTCCATAGAGAAACGATAAAACTTGGAAGCGAGTTCTTCAACCTGTCGAACCAACCCCGATTGTACATTACACAAAACATCGAGATTGCGATTGTCTTCGCCAGTCCCCCTTTGCTGCAATCCCCCATTCGCCGCGACCTTCAAGCTTTGATATCAACTTGACATAGTAAACACAGAACTAAGCTAAGCAGCTGAATACAATAACAGAGCAAAGAGCAAACAAACATGGGCAAAGATTTAGGTTTTTTTATATTGAGTCTATCATCCTTCTTCTTTCTTCAATACATGTATATTTTTAAGATCTCTAACTAAAGTTGGTGTTTGCTAAAAAGAGAATTATAACAGGAAAAGTGGTATAGTACTATTATAACTAAAAGAGTAACGTGGGTAATGGAGGCTGCAACAGAAGAAACAGAAATATAAGTAAATAAGTAATAGTTAAGTTACTCCCTCGCAGAGTGGTGCACCGTATTAGGTATCCCTCGCAAAGTGGTGCATCGCATCATCTAATCTAGCATGGACTCAACTCAAATTTGATCCAAGCCTAATTGGCTCATTGGTCAACTTGCTGATGTAAATCCGTGAAAAAAAAATAATCTGACCATCAAACGATGTTTGATCTTCAAGCCAATTTTGTAGCACCCTAATTTTAAGTAGCCTTTATTTTTTTAAATGGCTACGCACCACTTCATTAAAAGCCTAACTAAGAGATTTTGTGATCCTCCGCATTGAGCATTGGAACTTTTACAAGTCTGGAACTGGAGAAGATGTGAAAGGATTAATGGCTATAATATCGATTTCATACAAAAAGGTATGGGCTAACTAACATGGCTAGCAATCGAAAGCCTTGTTTGAAACTCAATCCAATCATCAAATTTGAGCTTTCAGCATAAAAGCAAACACAAAGAACTAGATCGAAATCCTGACCTACGCGCCCAGTAAGCAGTCCAATCATCAACTCGACGGTAGAGTAGGCAACGTTAAGCGAAATCAACAGTGCAAGCCGCCTGACCTGCCGATTCCCAGATCTTACTGCCAATAACACGGACGCCATCTGATACAGAACAGAACGATTCCGCACACTATTCCCCGTTCCTCCAAACTCTGTCTTCCCATGTCCTTCCCATAACTCTTCCTCCTCCGAGTGATTTATACCGATGCAGGAATCGTTCCGCAGGAGCTGAGGCTTGAAAGACTGGTTGCGAGAGAAGGAAAACCTCCGATCACCGCTGTCAATACCGTATCTTCCGCTCCATGGCCGTTGTGTCTCACCGTCGGGGAGCCGATGTTTGAACGAATCCTGGGTAGCCGGGGCAGCGGTGAAAGAACTCCCAGTGCCGCCATTAGGTTCGGAGGAAACTGCAAAATCGGCCATCCGGGCCGAAGCACTATTGCGCTGCACTCGCGCCGGAATACAGTGGATGGATCGCAACTGAGCGCGTAGGGTACGAAGGCGGAATGCGGACCAAAATTATATTTAGATAAATATATCAGACATTTATTTTATTTACTATTTACTATTAATCTATTTAAATCATATAATGCTTTATATGAAATAAAAAGTTTGAAGAAATATGTATTTTTTTTTATTCATTTTTTTCAAAATAACTCATTGATTTATCAAATACTATTTATGTGAAATTCATCTCAAATTATATAAGGCTAAAAATTCTCGGATCATATTCTAACAAAAAATGAAACTTTGTTCGAACAAAATTTATGTAATGTTAATTAGGTTCGAATATGAATCAAATATTGTTAAATTAATATTTTAATATTAATCGAACATTATTCAAATATGACATAAACAAACAATTAAAATACAACATAGTTCAATGCAACGGTTATATCACATAAAAAAGGATTATTTAAATAAAACTTTTTTTGTAGTCAGTTAGATTATTTAAACTATATGACATACAAATTTGATGCTAATTCCTTCCTCAATAATCTATTGCTTTCCAATATTTTTTACATTATTCTAACTTGCTCGCCATGATTCTTTGATAGACTTCTTCTTTTGTCTACAACCTATAAAGAACTCCTCAAGGCTCATATCTGAAGACTGGATGAAATTATTTTGTGCGGAGTCTGGACTGGAAGAATAGTCTGGAATGTGAGTATACAGACAATGTGTTTTAAATATGTGTACACTCACAAGTCCAAATGAATCTTCCCGTCCCAATTATGTGCAGAATAATTTCTCATATACCTAATTATTTTCTTTTGAAAGGCTTTCAAAATTCAATAATTATTTGTATTGTGATTTGTGACCATCATGATATAAATTTTTTTTTTTTGTTGATACAAATTCTTATCACTCTCTTTATTATATTGACTATTCTATGATGACCTATCAAAATGATCTCTCCTATTAAAATTATTTTTTAATATAATATTTTAGTTTGGCATTGCATAGTTTTATATCAACAAAATGTGAGCAAGACTAAGCAAATGTCTTCCATTAATAGTTGAATAAATTTTAATGAGTCATACAGATCAAACAAATAACAGCCCGTTTCAGTTGCGTGACAATGGGAACTTTCTAACGAATCAGATCGAAGGCGGCCTTCGTTTGCTCGGGCTGGGGGAGTAAGGGGGAGAAGCGAACAATGGCGGGCGGGATGGCGAGGTCGCGCGCTTTGTCGTCGCTTGCCTGCGTTATGCTCCTACTGAGCTCCGTCAACGCCTGGAATGATGAGGCCATTCCTAAAGTCAAGGTCTTTCCTTATTCACAGATTTTCTTAAACCTAGATTGTTTTTTGCACCATTAGGGTTTCCTCATTAAGATTCGCGAACTTAAGTTTTATCACTTTTATGTTCAGTTCACTGTAATATTTGCTCAATGCTATGCTACAGGAAACATGCAGCAGATCTTGCGTCGCGGAGAGTTGTGAAAGTGCGTATTTATTTTCTTCCTTATTTGTGTTTTAATTTCGCTTTTTCTGAAGGGCTGTTTGGCTATAGACAGGTTTTAACTTAAGTAAGATTTAGTAAATCCCCGCGGATTAAAACCTGAAAATTGTTTGAACTATTTGTTTCCGGATTTAAAATTTGTGAGAGGAGAAATCCTTAAATTTGTTAGATTCTGGGAATGTTGGGATTTAATCAGTAGCGAGATTGAAATAAGATGATTGGATTTATCAAAACAATTTGATTTAAAGTTGACAAAGTTCTAGTTTTATTGGATTTAAGTTAAATCTTGTTTAAGTTCTCCCTAAAACAGGATGCCAAACAGTCCAGAAGACTGATAATGATCTATATTTATCGTTTTTACCTTCTTCAATTTCCTTTGATCCAACAGCTTTTGGAATTCGATATGGGAAGTTCTGTGGTGTGGGGTGGAGTGGTTGCCCTGGGGAGAAGCCCTGCGATGATCTTGATGCTTGTTGCATGGCTCATGATGAATGTGTTGAGAAAGGAGGTAATTTATTTTTCATGAAATTGAATTGCTGGAATGTAGAATTATTTTGTTCTATGGAGTTTCACGTGTTATAAATTGCAATATCTGTGATGATTATTTAAGTTACAGATTTGTCGGGATCACAATTTTATATCTTGCGCAAGTCATGAATCTTAAAGCACTTATTTAAGCTGAATTGATTGCAAATTACAGCTTTTGATGTAAAACATACATGCAAAGATGATTAACTAAGAGAGTTTGCACGCTTAATTTTAGAAACCACAATAATTATATCTTTATATTCATTTTGAACGACAAAAGAAAACACAAAGAGCGGTAAGACAAGCTTATGCTAAATCACATGCATATAAGTTAAGATCGTAAAACAGTCAATTTAATCTAATATTGCATACGTGAATGGTTTCAACAATAAATCTCAATGCTAAATTGCTAACAATAAGATTAGTATCTATAAGAAGATCCCTCACTCAACTTTTCCAATTTTTAGGCATTAGCGGAGAAGTGTTAACATTATCTTCATGACTATAGTAATAACCACAATCAATGATGTAACTATGAAGATAGAGAATTGGATGTTGAGTTTACCCAAAGACAAGAGAGATTTGCACTCCTGCAAGATCGTTTGAGTGTTGGGGATGACTAAGACAGCCACCATGAGCTTCCTCGCACCACAGAATAGCCAAGACGAGGTGCGGATCTTCAAGACAGCAGTAGTTTTTTGATCTGGACAGATTCTGGACATCAATTGGAACCTTTCGGATGAAGGTATCGTGCTGGGAGATTTGTAGAATCAACGGACAGCAGGTTGTAGGAGAGCAGACAATAGTTTGAAGGTTTTAGGCGGCAGGAATCCAGATTTCCCTTGGCTGGAATTTTGGGACAGCAGGGAAAACTGAACTTTGATAAATGGGTGTTAAGTAGAGGAAGGGAAAAGATGGGGGAAAAGGGGGCGGCAGATCCAAGGCAAGAGGGAAGGATTTAGGGAAAGTTTAATTAGGAGTTAATGGCTGGATTGGGGAGAGAAAGGGGGGAGGTGAAATTTAAAATTAATTTTAGATTTAGGGAGTAATTGGGGTTTGGGGAGTAATTGATTTGGAATTTTAATTTGAATTAGGTGGAGAATTAGGAGGGAAAGGAATTAATTAGATCCTTAATTTAACGAATCTAATTAATTAAAGGGGTGGAGCTTGGTTGGCCGGCCAAGGAGAGAGGGAGAGGGAGAGATTGGGTATTAACGAGGTGGGCCCAAGCAATTAGTGGCTTATTTTCTAAAATATGAAATTAATATCAATTTGGAGGATTAATAGGGAAGTTTCCTAAGAATGAATCACCTTAATTGGAGGGAATTTGAAATTCAAATTAATTTGAATTTGATTTCAAATCCTTTCCAACTTAGTATTAATCCCAAATAGGAAACTAATGAAGGCTAGTTGAAGGGACCCAAAGGGAGCAAGGGAGGCCGGTGGGTTGGGGATTTTGAGGAGGCGACTGGTGGGGGAAAACCACCAGTGGTCCGGCGGCTGGGTTGGGCTGGAAAGGTGGCCGGCGGAATGGGGAGGGGTGGCGGTTTGGGAAGGGGAAAACGGGAAGGGGGCTGCCGTCGGCTATGGAGAGAGGGGATGTGGCCAGCTATTTGGGGAAGAAAAAGAGAGGAAAAGAAAGAACGAAAAGAATAAAGAGAAGACAAAACCAAGAGCTCACCCGCCGGTGAGCTGTTGGGTACTCTGTTAGCCTCTTCTAGGCTTCACCACCACTCTCTAGAACTCACAAAGAGATCATGACAAAAGCTGAATTTCATTTCAATAATCATCCCTCTAAAAAATAAGAGAGCTAGCATATAAATAGGCCTCATGAAAAGAAAAGAAACAAATATAAAATACCCTTCGGGCTACAACACCACATGACCACCTATTGGGTGAAATGGGAAAAACAAAAATATAAAATAAACTAGTACATAAGACACATCAAAAATAAAATAAAGTCGAGATCGTAGTCGTTGATCTTCTGATGTCCTCATCAGCTTTATTTCTAACAATCATGTTGGAGCTATTAAGGTTTGATATATCATCAAAAAACTTATCTTGATCGAGCATGAATCTTGTGGCAAATTCAAATTGGAAACTTCTGAAATTAAACATGGGGTCATCCGAACTCCGATTTCACGTAACTTATAGTCAAACTGAACGTCTTGAAAAAATGAACCCAACAACATCAAATTCGATCCAAGCCGAGCCCAAATTGGTCCAAATCAAGGGTCTTAAACATATTTAAAAGGTTCAAATCATAAATTGGATGATTAAATGATATCTAAATGTGTCATGCTTATAGTCGAATCGAGACGCTCGACCTGACCCGTGACCCGGCAGTGGGCGACGTGCAAGGGTTCGACAGCAAGTGCGGCACGCGGGTTCGGGCCGTTCGACAGCGGGTTCGTCAGTGGCGACAACGC